AACCCTAAACCGTGCACAGAGGCAAAAACAACTGGGAGGCAAAAAGGCGCTGCGCGGGGGGCGAAGAAACCATTAAACCCAGGCCTGAAACGCTGGAAACCAATGGGCACGTCTGTTCCACACCCTCTTGCTAAGGAGGGTTTTGGGTTTAGAGGTTTAGGGTTTAGGGATTTTGCATTGCTGCTGCTTACATGCAGTGCGGCGGTTGGAGCCCTTAAATAACGAATGTACCTTAAACTATAGGGGCCTTCATATTATGATTTAAGGTATATTCCTTAATTCAGGGGTATCCAGCTGTCAACAGGGTCTGTTTTTGGAAACAACAGGTGGAGAAATGTCCAGCACGGCAGAGCAGGGCTCAATTATGGGTGACAATGGTTTAGGGTTTAGGGCTTTGGGTTTAGGGTTTAGGGTTTAGGGGTTCCAGCTGACCTGAAGCATGCGTAATGGCAAGTTCAAAAAAAGCGGCGACCACATCATCGAGTCGTTGGTTGGGGTGTAGGAGAGGATTGAATTTCGTCAGTGCATGGACCTTGGAAAACACTAACCCAGCCCCAACCGACATTCTTTGAGCCTGCGTGTGCATTCGCATATCGCCGCTCACTCGCCTGAACATGCAGTTGCCCTTTTGGCTGCGACTGTGCGGCCAGACTGTTAAAGGAGTAAGGGTTGGACGCGCTGTGCAAAAACAATCAGCTGTCAAGACCTCTGCACTCTTGGGTTACCACCAGGCCAGGTATCCCAAGCAGCTGAAGGTAAGAGCAGCAGCTTAAGAGGGCTGCGGACGAATCAGGAGCGTAATCCCTAAACCTACCACACCCTAAACCCTAAACCCTAAACCTTGAGAAAGTAAACATTGTGACAGCAACCAAAGTGCAGCTGACGGTTCAGGGTTGCGTTTAGGGCTTGGGGTCTAGGCTTACGGTTCAAAATTTAAGGCTTACGGAGTTTACGGTTTAGGTTTCTTTTGGGGTTTCTTTTGGCCAGGCTATTCGACGCAAGGCCCCTGCAAATTAGGTTTACAAGTCGTTCTTGAAGTCCAGGTCAAGATTTCGGCCTACCTTCGCAGTTTTCGCTGGTCTCCATGATCTTCGATAATGGGTCAGTCGAGAAAAGCGCTGACAATCACCCCAAAGAACAGAACGTCCAGCGACAAAACCACTAATGACTAAACCCGCGTAGGTGCCCTAGACGGGACTGGCAGACAAACACTAGCATTCCAAACATAATACTGCAACAGGGAATCCGAGATGTCCACCAACTCTCGACAGCAAGTGCTTTTAAATGCACGGCTCGTACGAGCCTAAACCTTGCACCCTACACCCCAAAACCGCGCAGACCATGAAATCTGATCCGTGAACCGCAAAACTGATCCTTTAGGGTTTAGGGTTCCATCTTCTTTGTCCTCCCTCTCTCTTTGGCTGTACATAGAGCTGAGCTGTAACTGTAGGCACCAAATGCCCATGCACGAGGTGCCCGAAAGAACTGAGCGAACGAGTTTGTGGCATGAACCACCGTTCCATCAGGGCGTAGAGAGTGGGTTAATGTAGTTTTGGGGTCCTTGATAGTATACATTGCAATAGGGAGCCCCCAAAAGTATATAGGTAATTATTGAGGCCCCTACATTACGGCTTAGGACTCAGCGTCCAGGGCCTAGGCTTCATAGGTCCAGGGTGCTGATAGCTACGGGGCGTCCGTCACAACGACAGCACACAACTAATGGCAGCAGGCAAGTGATACTGACTTAGGGTAAGCACTATCATGCCCATAATCATCATCGCCCTACCCAAACCCCAAAGCCTCAATCGTAGCTGCTAAGCTCAACCTGAGGGATTCATCTGCATGCACCTGAGCCTGGTGCATGCGAATTTTTATGTAGGCATGATACGGGTTCCATGTGGTGTGCAGATCTCCCTTTCTACCTTAAGAACCCAAAACCCACTTTTTTGTAGGTTCTTATTATAAACCCTAATATGGGATTATAGGGGCCCTACAAAAAAGTAGGTTTTGGGTTCTTAAGGTACACCATAAATCCTGAGCTTAAACGTTCATGACCCGGCAGCCGGACTTTACGGGGGTTGATAGCTGGAGTTAGGGTTTAGGGTTTAGGGTTTAGGGTTCTCGGATGTGCTGGTGGCTGCACTGGATGCGCTGGCGGCGCGCATGACAATGCCACAAACTTTGCTTTCATCACCCGCCCACTGAGGTGAAGCCGGCGCTTGGGCTCCCGCTGTCAGAGCTTCCGCTCGCCGACCCCACATCCGATGAACTTGCCTGCTTCCTTGGCGTGCGAGTGTGGAAGAATGCATGATGCTTCGTGGCCAAGTGCGTGAAAGCTGCATGGTCCGGGTCTTCACACGCCTGAACCCTAAACCCTAAACCCTAGGGTTTAGGGTTTAGGGTTTAGGGTTTCATGGAACAGGGTCTCAGACCCTAAACCCTATAAACCCTAGGGTTTAGGGTTTAGGGTTTCGTGGAACCTAGGGTTTAGGGTTTAGGG